GCCTAGGGGTAGGAGAAAAGACTGCTGTGAAAACAAAGGGGAAGGAAAGGAAGATTGTCTTGGAGGACAGTAGAATAGAAAGTTTAGGGAAAAAAAGTGTGCAGACACCTTATTATTTAACCCACAGACTGGGATGATCTCTGGCATCAAAACTCAGCCCCCCGGGACACAGGATGTATGGCAGGAACATATATGTGATGGCTGTATCCTGATACGTGTATACATGTAATGAATTGTGTGCCCCAGGGCCCTTTTGAGAGGGAACGAGGGTGCTATTAATAATTAATTGAGACAACAGGCATTAACGGGGGTTGTCCTGAGCAAACCTCCCAGTCGCCTTACTGTTCACCTTAGTAACCATGCACCTTTACATCTTTATTTGAAAATGAAATTCATCAAGTAACACAGACCATCAAAAAGTTTCCAATTTATCTATTTTGTGCTAGCACTGCTTTAGGCCCTGGGGGTAACCAGGGAAACAAATGCCATAAGCCAGAGAAGACAGACAATAAACAAATCATACATTATTAGACGCTACTAGGTTTACATGGAAATACAAGGCAGAGAAGGGATAGAGGGACAGTCAGGGCCTAGAGGAGTGAGGGAAAGGTCATTTTAAATAGTGTGCTCAGGGAAGGCACACATTGGGAGGATCTGGTTTCAAGGCTGCCCAGAGCCGAAAGAAATCAAAGACTTAATAAAAGAAGAGAATTACCAGGATTTAAGGAAAGAAGGAATTGTGGCTCATACAGAAGATCGGTCACCAATACTCTCTGCCTCCCCCTACAGAAGAATTTTTCACCCTCATCCTCTTAAAATCAGGCTTGGCCATATGAATTGACATTGGCCAGTGATTTGTGAACAGACGTGACAGGGCTTTCACAGTCACTGCCTGCTCCCCCGGGCTCTTTTCCCTCTGCTGTCACAGTCACTAAGCAATGTTGAGGTGGTGGCTGCCCCGTTGGCCTGGGTTCCAGGGTAAAGGGCAAGCATGACACAGATCTACCGGTATGACACAGAGCTGTAAGTAGTGAGAAATGATCCTTTGTTGTTTAAGCCCCTGAGATTTGGCACTTGCTTGTTACATAGCATAACCCAGCCCATCCTGACTGATACAGGAGCCCTCACTGAGAAGATGACATCTGAACAGAGACCTGAGGACATGAGAGAACCAACCATGCAGAAATGTGGACAAAGCCTGTTCCACACAGAGGAACAGCAGCTGCAGAGGTTCTGAAAAGGGAGCCAGATTTCTCAAGGCAATGATGCAGACGTGTTGCTCCACTCAGACTTCCACGCAGCCTGTGGGGCTGGAGGTATAGGACTTAATCTTGCTCACCCAGTGATGCTGTTCACTCCTCTTTTCCTCTGCAGGGTATGGAGTGGAGTGGCAGGGGTGAGAGGAACAGAAGAGGGTAGGAAGGAACAAAAGATCTGGGCAGGGAGATGCGGCCTGCAGAGCGGGGCTCCAGATCCTTGGGCAATATATATTAATATATTAAAAACGACAGTGTCACCCATGTAGAGAGCCTGTGGGGCCTCGGAAGTCTGACTGTTCTCATAAAGGAGAGGCGTCAGTGCATCCAAATTGTGTTAATCCATGACCACTGATGACCAAGACATGCCCCCTCCCCACTCCCCTTGTTCTTCTTACACCCACGACTTAGAGCCACACGGAACCCAAGGAGCCTCCAACAGATGAACCAAAGCAGTGGGGCCACACGTAGGAGTGTGCCATGCACCCCCCTGAGAAAGGGGGCAGCTGTTCCCTTTGAGCAACATAAAAGTAGACTGTATGAGCCACACTTCCTTAAATCCTGGTAATTCTCTGCTTTTATTAAGTCTTTGATTTCTTTCGGCTCTGGGCAGCCTTAAAACCACAGATCCTCCCAGTTAGCAGTTGCGAGTAAAAGAAAGTCTGAACAAATAAGGTGGAGTGGGCGGCTATTGAGGCTGGTGCATGAGGGAGACAGAATTCTAAATACCAAATCCATTTAGGAAAAACGTGTTAAAGTTGAAAGCTAAAATGTTTCACAGAGATAAAATCCTGCTGCGTTTTTATCAACCACAGACGTAGCCATGGAAGATTCTCTAGAAGAAACCCCCATTAAACATCTGGGTTTCTAAAGGCTAATGGCGTCTCACAGAATGCAACCATTAATCTCAAATCCTCCATGCTAATTGATTGCCTGGCATTACTGAACAAACTATCATCTGTAACTCCTAAAGATATAAAAATACTTTTAGGTTTGTAAGAGTCCCAAACATCTGTATGTTAGCTGTTTTCTCTCCAGTTGAAAGAAACTTTAACAAACGGATGCTCTAGTAGATAGGTGACCTTGAAACAATGCATGCAAAAGCCTGGCCATACCCAGCACCATCCTCCTCCCTTTCTTCTTGTCAATTCCTAAAGAAAGTCTATTCGTGATGGAAGCAAATTGCGATAAAAAGGGAAATTCCAGGGGTGCCCGGGTGGCTCAGTCGTTAAGCGTCTGCCTTCGGCTCAGGTCATGATCCCAAGGTCCTGGGATCGAGCCCCGCATCGGGCTCCCTGCTCTGCAGGAAGCCTGCTTCTCCCTCTCCCACTCCCCCTGCTTGTGTTCCCTCTCTCGCTGTGTCTCTCTCTGTCAAATAAATAAATAAAATCTCAAAAAAAAAAAAAGGGAAATTCCACTCAATTTAGATAATGCCAAAATCACTGGGACTGGGGCCCTTGCTGAGAAAAATAAAATGGTTTCAAGGTCTGAGAAGGGAGGAATGCATGGTACAAATGGGTACCAGCAAGAAAGGCACTGTGCAGGATCAACACCAAAGGTGCCTGGGGGCAAGGCAAAGCAATATATTACAACGCAGTGGGATGCAGCATTCACTTCCTACTCTTCCCAGAATCCAGCCTTTGAGCCACTGTTCCTCTCAAGGGGTAAGAGGCATTATTGGCATTTGGGGGAGGATGATTCTTTGTTGTATGGGATTGATCTGTGCCTTATAGGATATTTACATCCTTGACCCTACTCACTAAATACAGGTAGCATTTTCCAATCCCTGACACACAAACATCCCCAGACTCTCCCTAGAGTAGACATTGCTGTCCCAAGTTGAGAGCCCTACAAATCTGGGCTATGTTAATGTAAGAACAAGGTGCGGTTTGAACTTAGCTGTGAGGGTGCAGGGACTGACTGAGTTATCAAAGATCGCCATGCTGTCCGTATGTAGGCGCATCAGGAAAAGAAAAGCATTAACTCTATTTGCTGGCAAAGAAATCCCAGATATCCGAAAGGCTGCCAACAGCCACATGATTAGAGAGATAGCTTTGTTGTTGGTAGTAAAGCAAGTTTTCAAAGGAAGTCAACGACTGAAATGAGCTGTGGACGGTGTTCAAAAGAACTGATGTAGTAAATAACTCAACCCATGTTGTCATTGCTCTTCTGGAAAGGCGAAGGAGGATTTCTTTGAAAATGAGTTGCAATCTGCTTGAGATTTACATGAAAAACGGAGGAGACCAGCCCAGTTTTTAGGCTCATTGGGTTCAAATCAGTTATTGACCAGTTCCTTAACAAGTACATGCTGTGCTACTGGGAGGGTTCTGGGTCAATGGCTGCCTCGGGTGGCAGTTTGAGGAACTCCCCAGCTTTCTCAGTGTCACTGCTGAGGATCTTCCTTCTCTCTTCCACTCTCCCCATTGACCCTTCTCAGCCCCTGTCTTCCTGCCTTACGTCCCTGGGACTAGATCATCTTTGGGGGAGAAGGTGGGAAGGGACAGCTCATCCTGCCATCGTGGGATCCCTTGCCCGCCCCCTTCTCCCCTTGGCTCTGTAATAGCCACTACCATTTGTTAGATAAGGACTGTTTGCCAAGCCCTGGGCTAAGGCTTTTTTTGTTTGTGTTAATATTAAAGTAGGCCACCAAAGGAAGTTTTAACGATTATTCCTCCAGAGGTTTGTTTTCATTATTTTTCTTGAGAGAATCCCAAACTCATAGAAAACTTGCAAGTACAATACAAAGAACTTTTTTTTTCCCACGAATTATTTGAGAGTAAGTTGCCAACCTGATGCCCACCACCCCTGATTTTCCTATGAACAAGGACATCCTCTTCCATAACCCAATGAAACTCTCAAAATCAGGAAGTTTAGTGGGGTACATTATTACCATCTAATCCTCAGCTCCCATTCAGGCGATCCCGGGAATGTTCTTTATAGCAAAAAGATCCAGGTGAAAATCATGTGCTGTGTTTAGTTGTCATGTCTCTCTGGTGCCCTTCAGTGTGGAACAGCCTTGCTCACTCTTCTCTGGGTTCTCATGACCTTGGCACGTCTGAAGAGTATAGGCCAGTCCTTTTGCAGAATGTCCCTCAATTTGGTTTTGTCTGCCACTTCCTCATAATCGGGTTCAGGTGATGCAGCTTTGGCAGGACTATCAGAAAAGGGGCTCAGGGTCTTCCTGTTGCATCTGGTCCCATGGCAACAGGATTTCAATTGGTCCCCTCACTTAGGTGACTTGATTGAGGTGATATGTGCCAGGTTTCTCCACGATGAAGTTATTCTTTTTCCATTTGTGACTAATAAGTATTTTAGGGGGAAGTACTCTGAGACTGCAACTATCCTGTTCCTCAACAAACTTTCAATTATTTTATGGATTCATGGTTTTCTGTTTTAATAAATGGTCTGTCATCTGTTACTCTCATTTTATTTTCATGCTCAAGTTGTTCCAGATGTGGCCAGGTGATCCCTTTCGAGCTGGCCTCTACTCCCCCTTGACAAGCCCCCATCAGTATTTGAGCATTCTAGAACAATAAAATATACCAGTCCCATCATGTACTTTCCTGTAACCACCCTGGAATCAGCCATTCTTCAAGGTGGCTAAGTGGTTTGTTGTTGGGCTCCTTATATGGTGGGCCAGTGAATGTCTGTCCACGTGTGGGCCTACGTGTGTCTCATACCACATGTGTCCATATCCTCGGATGCTTTGGCTTATCTACTTCTCTGTTCCTTGTCTTACCGCAGAAGTTCTCGAAGAGAGACCGTTTACTGAAACTCTTGTAGATGAGAAAGCCAAAGCGCAGCAAGGTAGGATGCTGTCTAGCTAGTAGCAAGACTAAAGGCAAATCCCCAAATCCTTTCTCCTTTTCTAAAACCACCCACTGTATCACACAACTTTCTTCATCATTAGCAAGTGCAAATATTTTTATGATAGCTACTACTTGAGTTAGTGGGGGTGAGGGGCGTGTGTGTGGAATTAAAGCTAGTAATTTAGTAAAGCTTCTATCAGAGCAGAAAAAGAAAATATAATATTTTGACTTAAAGTATAAAGTTTTAAAGAATAAAACTGGTTGGTGCGTAAGGAATTCTGCAAATTATTTGTGTGGGATCTTTCCTAGAACACGTTGAGAGGAAAGTCCTTTGTTTCAGAAGAGCTGAGAGATTCCCATGTTAAGAATTAGGGTTCCCAGAGAGGTACAGAAAGTGAGATCAGGGACTAGGGTTTGGCTCCAATTTTGGCTTAGTATTGTCTATTATTGAGTCACTTAGTTTATTTGTTACTCTTTTAAAAAACACAAAGGTGGTGATTTTAATTGAGAGACAAAGAGTCTATAGGATGAGTGTAGGGAATAGAGAAAGACAGTGTGTGAACTGTGTAAATGCCCAGCACTGTCTACACTAGGGGTCTTTACTGCATTTGTATTATTAGTTTCAGGGGTAGAATCTAGTGATTCATCACTTGCATTTAATACCCAGTGCTCTCCTTACATCACGTGCCCTCCTTAATGCCCATCACCCAGTTACCCCATCTCCCCACCCCCCTCCCCTCCAGCAACCCTCAGTTTGTTCCCTATAGTTAAGAGTCTCCAATATATGCTTTGTAAATTAATGCTTAAATAATAAGATCTAGTATCAGGACTAATAACTGTGGTAATTTAGTCTCCTTGGGTCGCCATAACAAAATGCCATAGACTGGGTGGCCTAAACAACAGAAATTTATTTTCGCAGAGTTGTAGAGACCGGAAGTCTGAGATCACAATGCCACTATGGCTGGGTTCTGGGAAGGGCTTCCTGGCTTCGAGAAGGCCACCTTCTCATTGTGTCCTCTCATGGTCCTCCCTCAGTTCCTGCACGTGGACAGAGAGAGAGAGAGAGAGACAGAAAAAAAGAGAGATCTCTTCCTCTTTTTATAAAGCCACCACTCCTATCAGATTTGGCTTCCACCCTTACAATTTCATTTAACCCTAATAACCTCCTAAAAGCCCCATCTCCAAATACAGTCACATTAGGGGTTAGGGCTTCAACATAAGAATTTTGGAGGGCCACACCTCAGTCCATAGCATAGTGATAGGCATAAATGATATTTAAAAACATCTTCTGGAAACTATAATGTGATGTGAAAATAGCTGTGAGCTGTTGGTAACAAAGTCATAGGTACTGCTGCTAATAGGTTTGTTGCCTACATTTATTATGGAAGGAAATGCTTAATTTCTGGTAGAGGTTAGTGAAAATAAAGATATGATTTTTTTCCCCATCCAAATTCACAGCTACCCTGAACCTCTATGCAAAGACCATAGATGAAGAACTCCTGAAACATGCAAATAAGATGTTCTTGTTTTGAGCAAACAAGGGGCATAGGATGGTGGGAATCAATTCTGGAATCAGCTAATCCTGCCCATTACCAGTCACCTGAGAGCAGTAGGTGTGGTGAATTGAAGAGACATCATCTGCTTTTGGCTTTTTTGAATATGTGTTCGAGTGTTGGAATGTGTTCTCTCTTGCAGACACCAGTCACCTAAATAGTGAACGAAATGATTCCTGGACCTCTGAGAACTTCTGGCTTGACCCTGGTGTGAAGGGCCAGACGGAGACCAAGGCGGAGGATGATGGGCTTCGGAAATCCCTGGATAGATTCTATGAAATGTTTGGCCATCCCCAGCCAGCCGCTAGAAATCCACTCTCCGCATCCATCTGCCAGTGCCTGTCTCAGAAAATCAACGAACTGAAGGGCCAGGAGAACCAAAAGTACGCCCTTCGCAGTTTTCAGATGGCCCAGGTCATCTTCAACCGGGACGGCTGCTCCGTCTTACGGAGGCATTCCAAGGACACCCACTTCTACCCACGGGGAGAAGGAGGTGTGTCTCTGGATGATGAAAAGCCCACCCCGGGACTTTCAAAAGACATCATTCGTTTCCTCTTGCAGCAGAAGGTGATGAAAGATCTCTAAGTAGCTCCCGGTGGTAAGAAAAGGCAGTGTGGAGGATGGCCCTGTGGCCCACGCTGTCAGGGCCCCACCCACATCCCCTCGGGCCTCTCTGGCCAGCCCTGTGGGTGCAGCCCCCTGTGAGCTGATACCGGAGCCAGGTCAGCTCACATGGAGAGCCAGCAGTGTTTGTGGGCCTGAGAGCCCCTGTGTCCACACTACCTCCCACCCCACCCCACCCTACCACTCCCTTTGACTTAAGGCCAGCGACTGACTGGTTGGGAAATCCAAAAGCACAGCTTCCTTGTCCCGAGGAAGGAAGGACATGTTCTGAGGCATAATTTACTCTCCAGGACTCCCCTCTGGATCAGGCCAAGACTGGGCCTTCCCACGAAATCACACCTTGCTCAGCTTCTTCTGTCTCCCTGTCCTCCTTCTCCCGTTCACCTACTGGTGTCTCCTGGGAGCTTTTCCTTAATAAAGCTCTTGTACCTGAATCCTTGACTCAAAGTCTGCTTCTAGGAGAACCCAACCTAAGAGAACAGACTTTTTCATTAGATGAGTCTTTTGAAGGATTTAAAGCTCTGTGCCGAATCAAGTATAAGAATCCTACCAAGTTGTAAAACTGAGACCATGTGGTTGAGAATGTATTTCCCAAAATACATTTAAGATTTAAATATGGTTTAAGATGCATCACATATTAATCATACCCTTGCCTCTCCAAAGCCAGAATTCCCTGTTTTATAATACTAACAGGGCGTGGAAGGAACATTTGGGCCCTCTAAAATAAGAGCTAAGATTCGCAAATTAAAAAAAAAAAAGGAAAGAAAGGCTCTTTGTCTCCACCAGATTGCCAGTGTGAAAGGTGTGAAGAAAACAAATGTGCACCACCTACTGAAGTCTGTGTAAGCTCCATCAGGCCACGCCAGGCTGACGAGGTACGGCCTTGGCCGTCCGTGGAGGAAGAGAAAAAGGAATCCTTTGCCCAGGTGGATTCCTCCCCGGCGTTGTTGCCTTCTGCCTGCCTGCTACCAGCACCCTCGGCACCCTCAGAACAGTTGGCCCCTCGCCCCTGTCCTGTCCTTGCTTCGTGGTTTTAAATAGCTGGCCCAGGCTTGTGCCAGCAGGTGCTCCGCTCCACGGCCGTGTCCTGAGCCCCCATTCGAGACTCAGGGGGTCGAATGACATCACCTGGCACCAAGCTCTCTGAAACTGTCATTGGAGGCCTCCTGCTGATCCCTGCCTTGACAGCCCTTCCCATACATGACATTGACGGAAGGAGGTTCGTCTTTCTTTCGGGGGAAACCGAGAAGCTGGCAACCCTATGCAGATAGATTTTGAGAAACTGGAGGTGAAATTTGGTTGGCCTAAGACAGAAGCTTGCCAGAAAGCGGATTTTGCAAATAGATCGGCTTCCAAGTGTCCATGAAGAGTGAGGGAGCCCTCTCAGGCAGGTCTCTTGGGAACGCTCGGCTGGGGAGAGGAGACTTCTAAAGGTCAGCAATTCCATACTGGGGCTTCCAGTTCTGAGACGATCAGAGGTAAGAAACAGTGTTTCACACTGAAGTGCAGAAACACCACTGGAAGGAGACCCAAATGGTAGGAAATAGGAAAGGAGTAGGTCTTTCAGAGATACTTGAGGAAACAAGACTCCAGGTTTTTGGGCGCCTGGGTGGCTCAGTTGGTTAAGCGACTGCCTTCGGCTCAGGTCATGATCCTGGAGTCCAGGGATCGAGTCCCGCATCGGGCTCTCTGCTCGGCAGGGAGTCTGCTTCTCCCTCTGACCCTCCTCCCTCTCATGCTCTCTGTCTCTCATTCTCTCTCTCTCTCAAATAAATAAATAAATAAAATCTTTAAAAAAAAAAAAGACTCCAGGTTTTTCTCTGACAAGCAATCATGTGACTCTCTCCCCAGGGGCTTCTCCTATTCAACTGGCCCCGAAATAATCGGGAAACCGGGGGTACTTATCATGGACCATGTGCAGGTTGAATTTTAAGGTCCGGTAGTTTTATTGTTTTTTAGTGTGGAGCCAGTTAATGGATGACTCTGAAGAATGCTGTGGTTTTTAGTATTATTCAGTCGCTGAAAGAAATATTGGAGATTAGTTTCCATGGCCACTAACAGGAGGAGACTGGATTATTTTCTACTGTTCTTAAAGAACAGAAGATGGAAGCTACTTCTGTTTGGCAGAGAGATTTTAGTTATCAGTGATTTTGTAACCTTTTTTATTCTGGGTGCTGAGGGTGCTCAGCAGGAGACAGACTCTGAGACCAAAGAATTTAGAAATCTAAAAGCCAGAATCACCTTAGGGTTAAAAAAAGAAGAAGAAGAAGAAAAGAGTGTGCTGTGTGTTTGCTTACATCTGAGTAAGTGCTTGTGACAGGTCAGTACAATTTGATTCCCTGCAATCTCGCTCTCTAATTTGATCTTCGTGAGGTTCGGATGGCATTTGCCATTTATCTCTGTTTACCTTTAATAAAGACTAAGAGATAAGGATATTAAGGCTCTGGCCTTTGGCATTATCGTCTGTTTCTGCCCTGCAGATCACTTCACCAACGTCTTATCATCCCGTGAACAATTTGACTGGCCTGTGATATCCTCTGCGGCCCTTTCCAGCAGTCTCCATGAGGGTGGATTTGCCTGCAGGAACATCAGAACTCTGAAGAAGAGAAAGTGTTACCAGTGTTTTAAGTTTGTATGGCGGCTACTCACTCCATTAGTCATTGCTTTGCATGACCTGCGTGAGTACATGCCACAGATTTTAGTACCAGTCATTAGCACAAAACAATATGGAGATACTTTTAAAACTTTTCATTGAATCACACCTATCACACAGAAAAGTATTTCTAAGTGAACCCCTTGATGATTTTCACAAACTGAACCCTGAACCCACCCGTGCGCCCAGCATCCAGCTCAAGTGACAGAGATCACCAGCCAACCCAGGCGGCTCCCTTCTGAGTGAGGATTTTCATCTGGAGAACAGATGAGAATGGTTTGCTCAGACCCTTTGTTTCTCAAACTGCTGACACCATACCGTAGGCACCACATGGAAAAACAATGTTTCTTTTCACTGTTATCTCTTTGGTTTAATATGCTAGAAAAATATATAGCTACTGCATCTAATCTGTGCTTTTACAGATAGCACGGAGGATAAGCCTAATATAAATATTTAAAATTTAAAAGTGAACTGAATTAGGGGGGTCTGGGTGTCTCAGTCGGTTAAGCGTCTACTCCTGATTTCAGCTCAGGTCTTGATCTTAGGGCGGTAATATCGAGCCCTGTGTTGGGCTCTGTGTTCAGCAGAGTCTGCTTGAGATTCTCTATCCCTCTCCCTCTTCCCCTACCTGCCCCCTCACGTGCTCTCTAAATAAATAAAATAAATAAATAAATAAATAAATAAATAAATAAATAAATCTTTTAAAATTAATTAATTAATTTATTTATTTTTAAGATTTTATTTATTTATTTGACAGAGAGAGAGAGAGATCGTGAGAGCAGGAACACAAGCAGGGGGAGTGGGAGAGGGGGAAGCAGGCTTCCTGCTGAGCAGGGAGCCTGATGTGGGACTCAATCCCAGGACCCTGGGATCATGACCCGAGCCGAAGGCAGACGCTTAACAACTGAGCCACCCAGGTGCCCATAAATAATCTTCTTTTAAAAAGTGAATTGAATTAGCGAAAAAGTTAACAGTGCAGACAACGTATAGATATGTCAAAAATTACACAGCTGGTATACCAGAAAATGACTGAAATCTGGAAGACAATAGGATAGATAATCTATCCTACCTTATAGTATTCCACCATCTCTCTCCTGGAACACTGCAAGAAACTTCTATCAGATCAAGCCACATCTTCCTTTGCCTGTCTTTGCCCTGCAGCCATGTCGCAAATCCTTTTAAAAAGCAAAACACAGTCAGCAAATTAAAGAGAAGGGACTAGCCTTGTCAAATATGAAAACATTTTTAACTCTACAGTAACACAAGCAGCAACAAAAAGAGACAAATCTAAGAAAAAGAGTTCGGCCCATAGATATAAATGCACATGGAAATTGAGAATTTGATGAAGGTAGCATTTCAAATTTGTAAGGAGAAGGTGGAATTTTTAGCAGATGGTTTTAGAGTAATTGGCTCCCCAACGGGGGGAGGAGAGTATTCTTCACCTCACTCTTGATATCCAAATGAATTTTAGATGGATTAAAAATAAAAAGATAAAATCATAAAAATGCTAGAATAAAAAGTGAACAATGTAGATACATTCATGTGCACCAGTCGCGCCAGCAGGCCTGGTGTCTCCCAGCCCTCCATGCAATGGCAGGTGGTGATCTAGGGCATCCCACTGTATCTGCCCAATGATATCCATGTAGGCATCACATGCAGGGATCCAGTGGGAGCTTAAGCAAAACCAGAACAAAGTAGACCAAAACAGCGTTGCAAGGGCTCAGAAAACTGTCACTGAAACTATAGACTACAGGGCGCCTGGGTGGCTCAGTCGTTAAGCGTCTGCCTTCGGCTCAGGTCATGATCCCAGTGTCCTGGGATCGAGTCCCACATCGGGCTCCCTGCTCGGCAAGAAGCCTGCTTCTCCCTCTCCCATTCCCCCTGCTTGTGTTCCTGCTCTCGCTATCTCTCTCTCTGTCAAATAAATAAATAAAATCTTTAAAAAAAAAAGAAAAAGAAAAAGAAACTATAGACTACAAAAGTAAACCTTAAAAAAAAAATCCAAAGCCCAAACAGGGTGGCTGCCTACTAAAATAGAAGATTTATATAAGATTAAGAGTCTCCTAACATAATATGCAAAATGCCCAGGATACAGTAAAAAAAAAAATCACTTGTCATACCAAGAACCAGGAAAATCACAATGTGAGTGAGAAAAGATAGTCAACTGACACCAATAGTGAGATGAATCAGATGTTGGAACTATCTGGCAGAGATTTTAAAGCAGTTACCATAAAATGGTTTCAGCAAGTAATTATGAAATCCCTTGAAACATATGAAGAAATATAAAACCTCCTCAAAGAAATAGAAGTTACAAAAAAGAACCAAGTGGAAATTATAGAACTGAAAAGCAGAGCCACCAAAATTAAAAAAAAAAAAACAAACAAACCTCATTGGATGGGTTCAATGGTAGAGTGGAGATGACAGAAGATGGAATCGCTGAATTGAGAACAGTTCAGTCAAATTTACTCAATCTGACAAACAAGAGAACAGGGAGTGGGGGGAGAAAAGGAATCTGTGGCACAGTA